TCAGCAAGGACCTGGCCCAGCACTTCGGGTACCTATCGGCCCCCGAGGCCCTGCAGGGACTGCGGGGACGCATCCAGCCAGGGTAGGGGGGCAGCTGAGAGGGGCCGGGAGGCCGAGGGACACGTGGTGTGCCCCAGACCCACCTCACACTCCCCCAGGGCCACGCTGATCTGCGCCTGGGCTGAGGAGGGTGCTGATGCCTTGGGGCCCGACGGGGAACTGGTGCACTCGGACGCCTTCCCCCCAGAGACCCTCGTGGACACGCTGGGGGCTGGGGACACCTTCAATGCCGCCGTCATCTTTGCGCTCGCAGAAGGTGGGCACAGCCATGGCATGGGCACAACCATGGTATGGCCACAACAGGGCCATGGTTCAGTTTGGCACGGCCGCGGCACGGCCACATCTCATCCTGGGCCCCATCCCCAGGGAGGACCCTGCAGGACGCCCTCACCTTCGGCTGCCGGATCGCGGGCAGGAAATGTGGGATCCAGGGCTTCGATGGCATTGTCTGAGCTTGTGCCTGGAGACCTCTGCACCCCCAAGGCACACCACATCTCCACTGCACCCAGCAACCCCCCAGTAAAACCCCCCCGTGCGCCACTACTGGCTCCTGTGTCCCCTGGCTGTGCCCCCCTTGCCCTGGCTGGGGTCCCCCTGCCCCTGGGATGCACTGACCACAGCCAAGGTCACCAGCAGTGCCTCTATTTCTCATCCGATGCATGACAGAGGGGAGCACATGAACCCAGCCCTCCTTGGGCCCAGCAGCCTGGCCATGGGGCATCCCCCTGCCACTCTGGCCTGAGGAGGGCGGGGAGCAGTCAGGGCATTGCATCCCACAGTCCCCACTGCCTACCCCTCCCCATGGTCCCTCCAGGCTGGGGCTGCCTGCTCCTCAGGGGCTTCATCCTCAGGGGCTTCCTCTTCCTCTGTGGCATCAGTACTGGGGGCTTTGGCCTCAGGGATGACTTCTGCCTCCAAGGCCTCAGCACTGGGAGATTCCACGCTGAGGGATTCCACCTTGGGATCTCCAGCCTCAGTGGCTGCCTGTCCTGGGCTTCTCAACTCCAGGTCCTGCCTGGGCATCGCTGCGCTCCCCCCAGGCCCAGCCCCAGCCCCTGCCTGCTGCTCGAGGGGGGGCTGTCCTGGGGGTCCCTGATCCTGGCCAGGCAAGAGCACCTCAGGGGGGTCCAGCAGCTCAGAGGGGTCCAGCAGCCCATCCCCATTCCGGTCCTGCGTTGCCAGGGCTTGGTCCACCAGGGCAGCCACCTACAGGGGTGGGGAACAGGATGAGGGCCTGCCCAGGGGCTCACTGGGGTATGAGAAGCCATCCCTGTGGGACCCACCGTGTCAGGGTCTGGCTGCCCCCCAGCCTGTGCCAGCACCGTGCCAAGTAACTGCAGCAGCTCCAGCCCATCCAGGCGCCTGCTCTGGTCGTGGTCATGGAGCACAAAGAGGTAGAGCAGGGCTGTGGGGTATGGGGTGCTGTGGGGCTGGGGTCCCTGGCCCCACGGGCCCCTCAGCCCCCCATCCCCGGCCCGCTGGCCTTACCCTGCTCCCGTGTCATGGTCTCCACGTCCTGCTGCGGTGGCCCCAGGCTCCGCACTGCGCTCCGCAGGAGCCTGCGGGGGGAGCAGGGCTGGGCTGGGCAGCTCCGCACCTGCCTCAAGCCCCACCTCGCCCCGCGGCCAGCTGGGCACTGGCCGTGCCCTCCACCCACCACTGTGTCCCCCAGCCCAAAGCACAGCCCTGGGCCGTGCTGGGGGTCCCAGCGCTCCCCAGGGCAGGGACTCACAGCAGTGCAGGTGACTCCAGGCTCAGCGGGTCAGGGTACGGATCCACGATTGTGGCCACGGGGGGCTCAGGCCTGGCCAAACGACAGGGGG